GTTCAGATGAGTGGCTAATGTGCCGCCGAAGAAGAGCGCGTGAAGAGCGCATCCGCGCTGAAGAGCGCATCCACTCTAAAGAGCGCATCCGCGCTGAAGAGTGCAACCGCGCTGAAGAGCGCATCCGCGCTGAAGAGTGCATCCGCCCTCGCCCCTCTCTGAACAATCTTGCACTCTCGCTCTCTCGGGTCCAAGTGCAGCGGTCAGCCGTCGGCGATCGTCTTTTCTTATGCTAAGTTAAGTTAAGTTCAGTTTTCTTGTATGAAGTGAATAAACCAGACGGGCGATTCGACGACTCCCCCGACTTCCACCACAATCAAGAGGCATCTTTTTCCGGCAACACCGCCCCACTACAACATTTGGTCCTTCGAGCCGGATTTCGAGGCCGAGTTGCCGGGTCCGGTCCGTGGCATGCCGCCTACAGGTCCAGTGGTCGAAGGACCGCCCGCCGCCCAGGTCTGAGCCCGCGAGTACATGTCAGTGGCGGTGCCCGCTCCTGCTCCTGGGGCCCCAGTGGGTCCAGCAGAGTTGGGTGGCATGTTCCACGAGTTCCAGCTGCCGCCGCCCGATGGTCCCGAGGGAGCTCCGGTAGACGTCGAGTTGTACATGTCATATCCGCCATACCCTTGCGTTTGCTGCGGTCCAGCGTAGTTCGACCACTGCGGTGGTGGTCCTTGGGGTCCTGGTGGAGCTCCCCAGCCCTGGTATGATCCAGGACCGCTGTTTCCATAGCCGTACTGCTGCTGCTGCGGCGACGTGCCCCATCCCTGATAGCCAGGCATCATGTTCGGCGCACCAATAGGCATATTCAGTGGAGGTCCACCCATCTGGCCATTCTGACCCTGCATCATGTTGATAGGAGCATGGTGCGGTCCCCAGTGGCTGCACTCATTGCCCAGCTTGCCATATGCGCCGCCCACCGTGCTGTTGTTGGAGTTCTGGCCGCCAGATCCGTCACGAGGCTCGGCCTTCTTGATCTCGACCTGCTTGCCATTCAGATTGATGTACCGCTCGTTGCTACGGTTGGTGACAGGCTCCGGACACGACCCATCCAAAAACGGTGCTCTGGGCCACTGGCAGCCCGTCCTGGATCTTCAGGAAGCCCGGCTGCATGATCCGCGGGTACATGTCCGCGCCCAGGACAACGGAGATCGTCGCTGGCAGATAGAACCGCTCATCCGCCAATGTCACGCCTCGGAAGTGGGCACGCACCGCCTCGCTCAGCTCTCGAGACGGCGTATGAACGCGCATGTGAGGCTCGATTTTGAAAGCGACCTCCAGCCGTACGCTATCATCCATTTTTGAACCCATGATGGCCGAACATACTCCTTCGTCCCCCACGCTGGTAGTGGGCAGACGGAAACTCGCCGCTAGCGATGCGTCGATGCAGCTTGAGGGCGTACACGGGTCGATAAGGGCAATGGCGATGCGCACTATCGCGGTCGGCAACACATTGACGCTGTTCCGTTGCAGCAGCGACGATAGGGTGGGCGCAGCGGCCGCGTCCTTCGGGGGCTCTTGACGAGAAGCGGAAAATTGCCTAGGCGCGGATGACGCGGGCGGACGAGCGGTGGACGGCACCCGATGAGTGGCGGACGAAGGCCGTGGAGCATCTGAAGCCTGCCGGCCAGTGGCGGAAGAATGCCGAGGAGCTGCCGACGAGCGCCGGGAAGTCGATGGCCATGGATCGGCTTGTGAGTGCCGGAAAGTGGCGGACGAAGGCGGCGAAGCAACCGAAATGCGCCTGGAGTTGGCAGACGAAGGCCGCGAAGCAACCGAACCACGCCAGGAGTTGGCGGACGACGGCCGAGCGCTGAGACACTCCGTGTACTGTCTCCCGCGCTCCGTGACTTGTGCTCCTCTTGACGCGGCTGACGCCGAGACCGTGGCTTCTCCACGAGGTGCAGCAGCGAGTGGTGATCCTGACCACATGTTCTACAGCAGTCCCCACGCCGACACGATCCGTCGGAGTGCTCGTGAGCCAGGCAGCTGGAGCAATACCGGTTCACGAGAACCGCCCGGAGCCGCTTCTCGGCACTGAGACGTAGAAAGCGCCGACACTTCTTCAGAGGATGGATCCCACTGCAGACTCGGCATCGGTAGGACTGTGTACCTCGAGTACATCTGCTCTCCAGTGACTGGGCGCTGCGTGGACGTGGCGACATCGTGCTGAATATGACTGGCGGAACTATGATGGAGAAACAAAACAGCGTTATCAGAATTGGTGTGAAGTTCGACTTGGAATAACGGCCAGAGCTACGAGACAGCAACAATGCGCCGCACAGCTCTAACCGAGGGAGCGACACCGTTTTAACTGGGGCCACTCGAGTCTTTGCCGTCAGCAGGTTCACTATGACCGCAGACCCAACCTCGACACGGACGTAAATTGCTGCGCCGTACGCCTTCTCTGAAGCGTCGCAGAACCCGTGATGCTCGACCCTTAGGTGTGTGGTCGGAACGCGACCCATCGAGGAACACGAATCTGATCGAGCACCGAGTAATTCTCCAGGAAGTCAACCCATCGCTGACAGAAATCTTGAGGGAGGTAGTAGGTAGCGGAACTGCTCGTGGGAGAGACCTCGGTCCTGTGGCCTAAGTCGATGTATTCCTGTATTACAGAGTCATAGCGGGCCTTAAGGGGCGGGTCCCTCTTCAGGCGCTGCTCATTACGTAGGAACTGAGCAAGAGCAAAGGACCGTGAAGCTGACAGCTCGGAACCCTTCTGCCGGGGTCGCGTAAGGGGGAGCGTCACAACGTACTTGCCACACTCGTCTCTTCTCGTCGTCTGGACAAAATTGTGCTCGCAAACTGAATCCGATTCCGAATTAATCTGAGTGGAACCCTTCTGCTCGGGGTCGCGTAAGGGGAGCGTCACAACGTACTTGCCACACTCGTCTCTTCTCGTCGTCTGGACAAAATTGTGCTCGCAAACTGAATCCGATTCCGAATTAAGGATTAAACGTGGCGGCGATTTATCATATAAGTTAGGTTATAATATCGTATGCATCAAAATCATACAATTATTTATAAGCTAGTTTTTTAAGGAAAAAACACTTAAATTTAGTGAATTTGCAGTGCGAAATCTTTAAAAAACCACAGACGAACACTTGGCACAAACGAAAGTTACGTGTGAACGTCGTGGCTTTTGTTTAATTGTTTTGAAGGAAAAGAACTTTGGCAACGTTGAAACCAACCTAAGATACAGAAACCGTGTACAATTTTAAAAAGTGCTCCCCCCAAAAAGCTACCAACACAAGTTAATTTCTTTGCACCCGGTGTTAATAAAAAAGCGGCAAGATTACGTCAATTATTGAGAACCTACCCGGCGCCATAGCTCACAACCACAACCAAAACAACATCATGGAAGAGGACGAAAGGGGTAAATTGTTTGTGGGCGGCCTGTCCTGGGAGACGACGCAGGAGAATCTGTCGCGCTACTTCTGCCGCTTCGGAGACATCATTGACTGCGTAGTGATGAAGAACAACGAGAGCGGCAGGTCGCGAGGCTTTGGGTTCGTGACCTTTGCCGATCCCACCAACGTCAACCACGTGCTGCAGAACGGACCGCACACGCTCGACGGCAGAACCATCGACCCTAAGCCGTGCAATCCGCGCACGCTGCAGAAACCGAAGAAGGGTGGCGGCTACAAGGTGTTCCTGGGCGGCCTGCCCTCGAACGTCACCGAAACTGATCTGCGCACCTTCTTTGGACGCTACGGCAAGGTCACTGAGGTGGTTATCATGTACGATCAGGAGAAGAAGAAATCACGCGGCTTCGGTTTCCTCTCCTTTGAGGAAGAGTCCTCCGTTGAGCACGTCACCAACCGTAGCGACGAGGGAGCTGTTGCAACCCGAGTGATTGCAAGGGGGGCGGGATGTTCAGATGAGTGGCTAATGTGCCGCCGAAGAAGAGCGCGTGAAGAGCGCATCCGCGCTGAAGAGCGCATCCACTCTAAAGAGCGCATCCGCGCTGAAGAGTGCAACCGCGCTGAAGAGCGCATCCGCGCTGAAGAGTGCATCCGCCCTCGCCCCTCTCTGAACAATCTTGCACTCTCGCTCTCTCGGGTCCAAGTGCAGCGGTCGGCCGTCGGCGATCGTCTTTTCTTATGCTAAGTTAAGTTAAGTTCAGTTTTCTTGTATGAAGTGAATAAACCAGACGGGCGATTCGACGACTCCCCCGACTTCCACCACAATCAAGAGGCATCTTTTTCCGGCAACACCGCCCCACTACTGAGGCCTTTGAGTAACTGATTCTGAGCAATTTGAGTGGTGTCATTTATATAGTCTCTAGACTATGTTCACCTAATGTTACCAATAGGGAGTGCATACAGGTATGTTTTACTCCTAGAACCAATCGTATTGGTTTTGAGTATACATAGGAGCCCCAGACGCCAGTCATATGGTATTGAAGGATAAGGAAGACAAGGATGGCGAACAAATTAACGGATGATGATAATGAGGCCTGAGAGTTCAGTGAAAGTAAATATCGGTGTGTGCGGAAGACTGGTCAGGAAAATGACAAGTGTAGTAAATATTCCATTTAATGGTTTCTACGGACAGCGGGATAGTTCGTGCACAATCTCCGTGTAAGAAAGATTTTCCCTTTCTATGTTCACTTGATAAGAACGATGCCCAAAGGGTTCCACGAATGTAAATACAGGTGTGTGGGAAGTAACGGTCAGAACACCGTCAATTGCAATAAATATTTTTTTAAGACTTAAAAGGAATCGGAAACGGTCATGCACAATCGTTATGAAATAAACATTTTACCTTTATATATATATTTACTTGTAACCACGTTGTCAGCACTTGCATTCGATCGTGAAGCAATTAAAATTTCTGGCCTTAAGCTGAAAGTAGCTAGAACATAGGACATAGGCTGATAGTACATCAGTTTTTACATTTGCTGACTTGATTTAAATTTTAAACTTTTCAACATGATGACTCGATATGTGTCGCCTGAGTCAGATTCTATAAGATCCTCTCCCTCCATTGGTTTTCTGGAAGACGTGACCCCTTGCTATCCCTTGGATGGGTCCACCTGAGAACTCACCTACCCTCAAATGTGTGCGCTCAAGGTCTACTTGTGGTGGAGGTGGACTCCCCAACCCTCAAGAGTGTGCTGATATCTGCTTGTGCGCGCAGGGTGTAAAAATTTATTGTTAAGCGTTTTAATGAAAAGTTGCAGTTTTTAACTTACAATCGTATAGAGCATACCACTGGAAAGGGCTTGAAAAATGCTTTTTTAGTGAGGGGCCTATATTGAGACCCCCAATTACCGAAATTTTTGCCTTTTTAGGGTAGTAGTGAGCATTTTTATACGATTGTAAGTTAAAAACTGCAACTTTTCATTAAAACGCTTAACAATAAATTTTTACACCTCCGCGCACAAGCAGATATCAGCACACACTTGAGGGTTGGGGTGAGTTCGCACCTCCACGCACAAGCAGACCTGAGCGCACACTTGAGGGTAGGGGTGAGTTCTCAGGTGGACCCATCCAAGGGATAGCAAAGGGTCACGTCTTCCAGAAAACCAATGGAGGGAGGATCTTATAGAATACCTGACTCAGGCGACACATACATACCGAGTATCAGTGCATACAAGTATTTAAAATTTTAAAATCAAGTCAGCTAAATGTAAAACTGATGTACTATAATCAGCCTATGTCCTATGTTCTAGCTACTATTCCTGAACCGGTATTTTCGATATTAAGAGTGCTTCTAAGGCCTAGAATGCGCTATTGAGGACGTGTTTGAGTATATGACTTGTATTTTCGAGGATGTATTGCCCAGCATTGTCAATATTCTCACCAGTGCTCCAACTTCCAGTGAACGCTTTGTTTCAGTGTCCTTGATTTGTTGCCTCGTTCACAATTTTAGTCTAAGGAACAGCGTTTTGTTCGTTGGTGTGATCCCTTGTTGAGATCACGTCAGGGGTCACCAAAATGTTTATTTGTTGCCTACCACATGGTCGCCGATTTATCGTGCCGAAATGTAGATACTTAAGTGACTGACGATAGGATAAATGTCTATTCAAAGGATATCTGTAGACAGATGGTATCAAACTATCTGTTGTGTGTTGTCGCCACTGGCACTTGTTACCAGGTGGACGGCGGAGAGATTATCGCAAAAAAAGCCTTTGATGATTGTGATGATGAATTTTGAAACAGTTGCCGAACGCTCTAAGACTAAGTCTGATAAACTTAACCGTATTTATAGTTAAAAAATACTTAAGCTAAAAAACAGGTATAAAAAGAGTAGGTAGGCAAAGAAACAAAAAAAAGTATATTTTTCAACCGGATTTGGACCACAAGTAAGATGTATCAGCTGGTTTCATTGGGTCAGCGGACTGATGACGAATTGACTGATTGTCGTTTCTGACAGTCTGACAGCCGAGGTAGCTAAGCCGTTCTTTAATTCGATATTAAATTACTTGTTTACTTTTATTAATATTGTAATATCAAAGTTATTAACTTAACCATCTTAAGACCTACGAAAATATCAGAAATTATAGGAGCTACAAAACTAGGCTTAGGCATGTCACCTCTTCGAGCTACTGTTTTCTGACGTTAAAGTGGGAGTGGCAGGATGCTAAAAACATGCTCTGTAGGGACCTTAAGAATCTGCATGCCCCTTATACGGGCAGATGGATATGACTTAGTCGATTTAGGTCAAACCAATTGTCGAATCCCTTTTTCCACTCCGATTGAGGCACCTCCAAAACATGGGTTTTGAACGTTTCAACACCATCTTCTGGCGATAAGTCAAGGCTACACGGTGGGTGACCCAACAATTCCACGTTTTAGCCGCTCCAAAAGTCGCTGGTTTGAGCTGATGTGTGAAAGCTTGGGTTGTTATGGTGTATTTTTTTTCGAATTTTTACGAAGATTCCAGGCAACCAATTGTAGTGTACCCACTCAAAATTTACCGACCTACGTTGCTACGTTGAACAGTCGCCTTTCTGTCGCCTTCTTAGCACCAATCCACACGAGCCCTTTTTCAAACAACAAACCTTTTTGAAGACCAGGTGTTCATGAAAAATAGAATGTATTCTGATTGAAATGCCTAAGGATGCCTCTATCTCACAATATGTCACATGACGATCTTGAATTATCAGTTCACGTTCTCTTTGGCACAACAACTGTTCTTGGACAACTGTTTTTGTCGCCAAACGAGCATCGGCGACGATGCCATATGATGGCTCTTCATCGCCATAAAAAGATTTAAGTTCATCGACGCAAACAAACTTTTTTTGGGAAATAGCCAATTGTTCCTTATATGGCTAAAAGTGACCTAGGTCAAAAATACAAGGCAATAATAATTAACAATAATAATTAATAGTTATAATAAAAATAAGTAATAATAATAATATTTGACGCCGACCTAAATCCCGGGAGTTGCCTCAACACTTGGCACTTCACCAAAACAAGAAGTATCAGATCTTGTACCATAACCAAACTAGACGAAGAGTATGTGCATGGATGTTTTATTCTGTGGGGAAATATAACTTAGAAATAACATCAACTTAATCTGTGGCACCAAAATTAATGTAGCTTTAGACCACAATCAGTGTGGCCAGATATAAACAAAGTGTAAAAGCGAATACAATTCAAACTGAATGACTGACTATAGATATTTATCAGACTACCCCATCCGTTCCGCGTCACCCCAGATCCCCATCCCATCACGACAAACAGGACAGCTTACTTCGAAGCGGACGATCATCCCCCATTTTTTGATCATCCGTCCGCTTGGATACTCGTCTGGGCACTCCATCACTCCATGAACACCTCCTCCACGATGCCTTGTTTCCACTTTCGCCTGGTACGTGAACAATTTCAAGTTTCCTCTGACGTGCTCGCACAATTCTCCTTGCGCACAAAAGTAGGCAAATACTTGTGCACTGTCACTATAGGGAAATTTTTGTGCCTCTTTTCGGCCGGAAAACTAAAATCTCAAGAACTAGCAAGATATTTTGATTCTGTTTTTTTGATTTGAGTCTCATATGGTCAATAGATTTCAGATGTGAAAAAATGGTGGGCGTGGCACCACCAACAACTTCAAGATCATACGATAACCAAAAGACTAAGCAAGATATTCGATCCTATTTTTTGATTTAAGTTCATAAGTGGTCAATATTTTTCAGATGTAAAAAAAATTGTAGTGTGGCACCGCGCACAACCTCAAAATCATATGTCAATTAAAAAATTAAGCAAAATTGCGCAATCTTTTATATAAATACTTGGAATATGTTTGTTGAGTTGAGTAATAATAATTTGGATTTTCCCAATAATAGAAGGCGCTGCACGCATAACTCTAAGAAACAATCCAGCATTGGCTCATTTGAGTTATAGACTATGTATAATGCA